CATCTTGGGCAGTGGGAGGCATCGTCGCTTCTCCCTGGTTCGAGACAGGTACTAACACCCCCCACCCCTGTGCTAGTCGATTTATCTAGTACGGTGGCCATTCCACTCACTGGGGCAACAGTGATCTAAATCGAGTTCGTAATCGACTTGGTAACCAATATGACACTGACGTACACGAAGCACTTTAACATCTTTTCTATGTGGTAACTGTAAAATTTTAAGCCACCCACCTTCATATCCAATTTGTATTTGTAATACGAATATTAACTGATATTTTTTATTGGTCAGCGGGGAATAATGATAATGATACTAATTTAATTCTGCGCGTGATATTCCCAGATCCTAATCATGTGCTTCAATAAACCTTCCGTCTGACCTAGACTGACTCCGATCTAATGTTAAGCTAACATTAAGTTTGACTTCTCCTATTCTTTCCCATATCCTCTATTCAGAGGCACAGTTCCGTTCTCGTTTAGCTGGATGCTTTAAATTTCTGATGAAAATGGTTAAAATTTTGGTGAAGTTAAAGAACCTATCGAAAGACCAATCCCTGCAGGTGTATTTTAGGCATGTCCTCCATTCAGCAATAAAGCAGCGCCTTTTCAAAATAAGACTTTAATTTAAAGATGTCGACTTTATTTGGACTCACGATATCAATGCCATATTTTTAATGATTATGTCTGTTGTAAAGTCTGTACCTCAGGAATTCAAATGCAATCAGCTGACTAGTTTCATTAATTTCGGACATTTCAAAGTGATTAAAGTCACGGAAAGATATAAACCTATCAATATCACAGTAAAATAACAATTTTAAAAGAGCATTTTAATGCAAATTATCCATATTATATGACAAAAAGAGCGCAAACGCAGGACCATCAGTTCCTTTACTTGAAAGGCTTATTTGTTTATTTCAAATGGCAAGCGTTTTGATAGTATCATTAGCCCTTTAGCTGACTTCGGATTTCATAGAGAGGAGGAGAAACATCTAAGTGACTAAAAGACGAGAGGAGGACAGAATAATGGTTCACAGATTTAAAGGAGACAGACAGATGCAAAGGCAGAGAATAGGTAAGATAAGTACTGTGGAAGGGGTCGAATATGACACGCAGTCGGGCCATGGTAGATTGAAGTCAGAAGCCAATTGCGGGTTTATAGAATTTATTGCCGTATGAGTATCCGTTAACTGCCAGTTAATAGACTTTTTGCCGTATGAATATAACGAAAGCCGAGTGATAGACTTTTTTGCCGTAAGAAAATACGCTGCCCAGGGTGCACCACGTGGAGGTAAGTCTATCGCACACAAACTTCCGGTTAATAGACTTTTTACCGTATGAGTATACGTTTCCCAGGGTGCACCACGTGGAGGTAAGTCTATCGCACACCCACCAGGGTGCACCACGTGGAGGTAAGTCTATCGCACACCCCTCAATTGAAAGGTGGCGTTGTTTATAATTACGTGAGAGAAAAGTAATTCCCCGGGCAGTTATACATGATTGAATGGAACTTAGCTGATTTAAGGTCACGTATACTTTCTGAAAAGCGATCTATATTTCACTGACCTCATACGCAGAAACTTTAGTAATAAAAATCGAGCAATCATAGTCTTATCACCTCCCCCTCCCCCTAGATTAATAAAACAAGACTCTTACATAAATCTTAAGCAAAGTTGATTTTAAGGACAGAGTGGCATGAATTAATAACCATACTTGTTAACATATTTTCTAAAATTCTACTAAGTTTCTCTACATTGTACTTAATGAGGATAAGTTTCGAGTGCGAAAGGAAGAAAAATTTGACTTGGCAAATTCAGTCTATTCAAATAATAGTGCAGCAGAAAAATTCGATCTCGGCAGATAGCTCTTGACCTCGAATTCTTTAATGATGGCATGGAAGCTAAGTGCTGATTTGGTAGCTAAAAACGAAGGTCTGAACTTTTAAACCTGGGCATTTCCATGTGTGCGCCTTCTTTTACTATCGAGCAATCTAGTTTATTAAAATTTGGGCTCAACCGAAAGAAAATAGAATGTACAGTTTGAACTCAGAATAGCCCCCAAATGGCTAACAAAATTATCAGATTACTAAACCTTAATGAATAACTTTTTAAACTTACTCCGCCGACGACTGGCATTAAGTAACTAACTGGACGCTGAAGAACCAAGAATTATTAAAATGAATTGATAATTTCTTATTGGCAAACCACTTAAATACTTGAATACTTAAAGAAAAGGCATGAACTAAGAAGAAACGTCCGTACCTTACTGAACTAACTACAATATTAAGGAGTAAAGTCCAATTTCTAAATGTTAATTAAAATCGAAATGGATTATAAATGCGTTTGAGGGGTTGAATTACGAAAATCCCGACTACAATGTTGGTAAGTGGACATGAGATTATTTAACCAGAAAGTTAGAAGCGAATTTTCCCTTGGTTAAGTACAAACTTACCCTGAAAAGCTTAGATTTTGCAAAATTGATGAGTCAGAGGAAAAGTGGAAACAAATAGCACCGTTCAAATTTAGATTCCATTTATCACCATAAACTCTGAGGTCAGGTGAGGTTGTGAATACTGTTCACTTTATTAATTTATTACACGAGATCGAAATCAGTATAATGACCTGAAGTACATGGTGACCCTAAGAATGTTTACACACTCAAAATTATTGTTCGTAATCGGTCCAATTTACTTGAAGTTGTTATGCCAAGCATTAGAAAATAGTAAAAGATTGGGCGCGTACCAAAGTATGAAACCTTGTCCAGAGAACGGAAGACTTTAAGTGAAGGCCTCTATAACTGACACCATTTATCGCCCCTAATAACTAACTTCGAAGGCTGTTTGTGGCCCGATAGAACAGAAATTGAGAATAGAGTGATTTTAATGCAGAACTCCACCATTCATGCGGTAGTTTAATGCAGCTTGTAAAACGGGATTAAAGTGACGCATTTCGTTAGCTCACGTTCTAATTTCCAAGATTTAAATTGCAGACTTTATTTTGCGGATTTATGAGTAAATACATGTCCATGATCATGACGAATTTGTTGAAAGTTATTGCACATTAATACCATATTGATAAGATTTTTCTTCTGAAACCATAAAGTACTACCAAGGCGTTTAATCCTATGTAATTTTTGCCTATCTGGGTTGGATGAAGTTCACTCAAGTTGAACTCTTGATTTCATACCTTTGTCAATTAATCGATCAACACTTTATTTGAAATTAGATCATTCCCTTTGAGATGGGGAGATAATTAAAGTACAGAAGATCCAGCACGGATTAATACGTTTTTTGGGCACAAAATCATTAAGCAGCAATGATCTGATTACAGAACTTTTAGAGTTTCATGCCAACTGTTCCTTGTAGGTTCTAAATTCGTCCAGTTTCGTTGTGCCCTTTCGATTGGACTTAGATGAATTTAAACAGTTTCGGATTAAGACAGTTTAAATAACTGTAAAAATTGACCCCTGACTTTGAAGCGAAGCCTCAAACGAGTGCCATCAAAATCCCAGAGTGAACAAAGATGCCTAATAATCTCGTTATCCAGACAAAAAATCTACAAACAACACCTTTTCTGCTACCTTAAATAAATATTATAATGATAGCTACGTGTTCTTTAACCAAGTCCCACCATTGATAGGATAATTTTGCTTAAAATAGATCAAATTTACTTCTTCGGTATAATTGTTTGCTGAGTATTGGTGTGAACTAATTACTTGCTATGAATTATTATTTGATCATTTTGGCTGAAATGATGAGATACATTGCCAATACCGGTTGGAAAGCCGGATATATACCTTTATCAGAGCTCTTACAAGACCTTCGAATTCGAGGATTTGGGTACTTGAGGGAAGGAATCCGGTTATATGGTCGTTTCGAACGATCTTGTCAAACTAATTGGTAAATTAACAAAATTTGGCTCTAATTTCTAATCAAACAACGAAGTGAATGTAAGACATGGTATGGGCCCTTTCTTGTACTCCTGCAGGAGTACGTTAAATAATCAAATCTCCTACTTCTTTCACAGATATTATAATGGAAAAAAAATAGATTATAGTGATAGGAATAATTATCAATGAGAACCACCTAGCCAATAAGCACCAAATTTTGTCGCCGAGAGTGGTACCGTTAATCCAATTATTTGGTCTTACTAACGTATAGGGAGATCGAATCAAAAGGCAACTAAAGTACAATTGGAAGCCAAAAAACCTCTGTTAACTCCATCTTTTCTATGTTCTCGCCTTTGACCAATTTTCGAACTCTAATTGCTTTTCTATGATGACTTATTGTTAAAACTGTAATACTTGCCGTTACTATTACGTTATTGTCTCCAATCAACTCTCATTTATAAAGTCAATATAAACTTCAAAGATACTAATTTTGGCCCGAGGATAGATATATTTTCCCATGAAAACGGGGATTTGTACTTTCTCAATACTTATCTTGGCTTAAAGATCCTTCCAGAATATATTTTTTACTTCAGATATTTGTGAAGCCGACCCACCTTTTTTGCAACCCTCATAGGTGAATGTTATCCCTAAAATACTTTGAAGCTAGTTAAATATAATAATAATTACAGATGGCAATAGGCAATATGAGGATCAACGATTCTTCACTGACTAACTTTGAAATCTAAAGCGTGCAAAAGTGGAGTATTTAAAGCTGTGGCAACTGCGAAACATCTCCATTTCCATACATTTCAGTGCAACTAATGAAGCTATATTTGTTAATTTCACCAAACATTTTACTTATTTTCTAGAGAAGTTCGCCTGACAACAAATAGAGAATTTTTCTACAATTTTAGAATTGTTATTTCCTCGTCAATACTACCGTTCTGCTTTTGACAAATAAATTCATCTGTTTCTATCTATTGGTTACTTATAAGGTAGATCCCATAATTAACACAAGGGAAGACTAGGACAAAATCCTTCACCGTGATACATATATTTGGTAGTGAAATACAAGTTTTAATTTAACAAAATAGAAAAAGAGGAGAGATAAAGCCACCATTAGTAGAACTGGGCAGATTCCTGAAATTATAAAAAAAACAACAATTAAAGTAAAAGGATAGGATTAAGGTGGGGAAGACCTATGCTCTTTAGACTTACATTTGAATCCTGAGGAGCAATACCACCTGCAGCAGTAGGTTGAGAGGTGGATAGAGAAGTACTATTAAGAGGGGAAGTAGTGGGTTTGATGACGGAGGCTCCTACAACTATGGCTCTTCCTCCCAACTGCCAAGTCCCTCGACTTTGATGTGCGGGTCCAACTGGTGAAGGAATTGCTTGAGATACTGTCGGAAGTCCTCTCGAAGTAGCGGACACAGAGTTAGAACGGCCCTGCAATTGTGTGGAGGAAGGGGAGAGAAGAGAACTTGTGCTTCCAGCACCATTTTGAAGGAGAGATTTCAATAACTGTGAATTTGCCGAGGGCCTAGCAGTCACCGCTGAAGATGGTGCTACACCATTATTTTCAGGGTTGAGTGAACTCTTTGGTGAGAGCCTGCGAATGGAGTGACATTTGTGGACTACTGGACGCCTACTTTCAGAGCTAACGCTAGTAGATGAAGAAGGCGGAGAAGTATCCCGCATAGGAACTGATTTTGTAATCAAAGGGCGCCCTGTGAGAAAACTTCCATCAGTCGTTGTTTTGCTTATCATTGGAGTAGCACCTAGAAATAAATTTACATACGATAAGGTAATAGAAAGTACTTCAAAATCAAAAACTTGGCTCTGGAATTCAACTTACCTCTAGAAGGAACAACAGGAGTTAACGGTCTGACAACGGATACGATAGCTGAGCGTATACTTGGAATAAAACCTGGTGGCGAAAAGAAAGCTGGTGGGTGAGGAGTGATAGTTTGAGTAGAAGGGGTAAAGACGGTCACGGTTTGAAGAGGATGAGCAGAAGTAGGAGGTGTCACCGATACTGGAAGCTGAGGGGGTGGTAGTTGAGGAGGGAGACTCGTGGTACTGAGCTCAAAATCCATCCCGTCATCTAAGTCAATATTATGATTAGCTGGTCCCCCTGATTCGACTCTAAGCCCTTGAGTTGGATCTACCTTACGCTAAAAGGGACAGAACAGTTATTTTGACTAAATTTAAAACAATTAACAAAAAGTCATGTTCAGACTAGGTTCAACAAAACACAACTTCCCAACATAACAAAACGCGGCTTAATAACAGACCTTTGGAGAAGGCTTCGCAGTATATCGAAGCCCTTCTCTTGGCTGTGGAAAGGCTTGTGTCTTACCGACACCTAATAAAACAGGATTTTATGTGTTACTTAGGAAAATACAAGTAGCGAATTCCCCATCTCATCTTTAAAAAACGTATTAACTCACATGGCTTCTAAATTGAGGATTTGGAAAAGATGGCTGTTGCTGTTGAACAGAAGGGGACACCTGCACTATTGAGGTAGCCATAGCGACTGACGTGGATGAATGAGAAGATGTTACAGCAACGGAGGTTAACGATGTAGTTAATGGTGGACGTCCCTGCTGATGTTGATTTTCATCTTGGTTTCTCTTGAGTCGCAGCAGTTGACTGGCACTCATGGCACTAGCAGGATTGAACAGTTCACCTGAAGAATGCAATGACTCGGGATTTTCTGAAACTTGAGGACTTGGAGCGCTCGACGCATTCATCACATTAGTTGACTCAGTTGAAGCAACACAAGTCCCGTTATCAGTCACAGGTGACATAGAACTAGGAACGGTATTTTCAGCAACAGAGACCGGGGCTGCTTGCACGTCTAAATGCATGGCAACTGGTTGATTACTGAAGGAAGGGGCGGAGTGAATTTGAGGTTGGGGAATAGGACCACTAGTAACACTGTTAGTGGGAGCTTGAGTTCGATTGACAAGAGGTCGACGATTAAGAATCTTAGGTACTGTGGAAGTTCCAGTATACACTTTTCGTACAAACTTCCGATGTCGTCGGAAAGGAGGGAGAGGTGGGTGAATCGTCGTGCTTTCAACACCTCCTTCCTCTTCTGTGCCTCCGGACTGACGGTTAGTTGAAGAGTTTAGAGGATGTGATAATCTGGGAGACCGTATTCGATTGAATCTTGGTGTTCGAAATCGTTCCAAATGAGAGGGACGTTGGTGGTGTTGTTGCGTGGTCCTGCGCCTGTAGTCAGTATTCCAATCTACTTCATCACCAGAGAATGATATGTCTTCACTCGCCTCCACTTCTCGAACGTCTTGTTGATTTCCATTTTCCAACGAAGAATCTGATTGCTTTTGAGATTGAGCTGATTTCTCCATTGATTTCGATTCAGCCGCTGGTGCTACTGAAGGTTTCGATGAAGGAGGGGATAAGATGACATTGCATTTTTTCTCTCTATTTTCATTATATACAGACACGTTTTGAATTGTGAAATGAGCGTCTTCTATACGCAGGAGGAGCATTTTCATGTCCTTATCGTTTACACCCCTAACTGTAACTAAACCAGCTTTATCATCTACTGTCACACGACAATCCACAAAACCCAAGACAAGTCGCTCTAGCACACTCAGTTGAGGATTGTCAGCTCGATATACATTTCTTGCACGTGGTGGTTCCGGTTCACCGGATGCCCCTGATAATCTGGGGGTCGCAAAAGCTCCTCTTCTTCGAACAAATTTGCTGTCTAATTGTCTCTGAGAAGGTCGTCCAGCAGATCTGGCATAAATTCCAGAAATAGGATTTTTAGAACGAGAAGTCACTTTTCTTTTGGTATCCGATTGCCTTTCTGGCTCGCTATCATCAAGATCAACTTTGGGATGAGGTTCTTCCAAATCATTCCGCTCTTCTTGAGTCTCAGTTAGCTCTCCCATTTTATTATGACCATTAACGCCTATCCCGCTTTCATCCAAATGAGCCTGAGCTGTCTGAGCTCGGCGTTTTCGGCTAGCGACAGTCTCAGTCCGGGTTGATCTCGCAATTTTTTCAGTAGTAGAGTAGCAGTATTTCCAATCAATATGTTTACTAATGTTTCCAAACTGTCTGTGTCGTGTCTGGATAGTGACGGTGGCCGACATAGTAGTGGGATTAGTCGAATTCTGAGCTTGAGATTTTCTTGGGCGGCCGCGTCTAGTTTCTGTAGTTTTATTATCGTTACCATATTTATGGAAAACTTGCGAGGCAGCAGCTTGGGATTTGGCATGAGCAAGCTTCTTTGCTGCAATGCGAGCATTTCGATCAACGCCAGTCCTCCTCCTTGAAGTAGTAGCTGCGCTAGCATAGCGAGTTCTTCTAGGATTTGGTCTAAGATAACTCTTAGTATGCCTGGGATCCTTTGCCATAGCTAGAGTTTGTCGTCTTATTCGCAGGATTGAACTCATATTAGGTCGAAGTAAACCTTGCGAAGCAAGAAAAGCATCTTTCTTATCAAGATCTTCATTAACCTCTGATAGGGCACCGTCTACTTTGGCAAATAACTCTGCCTGCAACGGATCCTTAAGAAGAAATTCTGAATCGTTGGACTTCTTTAGGCCACCAACATTAGCAATATGCTGCTTATACTTTCCTCTTGAAATGAAAAGCCTTCCCGTTGAATTGATTTCACGTAGCATACGTTGTGTGGCTTTATCCGTTAATTTGTAAGCATTATTATTAGCGTCTGGAAGGCGATCCGCTTGTGGCAGAACGTCAAGTTGGTGAGAGGTCGAAGAGATTCTACATGGAATTGTATCTTCAGTGCCTTCCGTCACCGACTGGTCCGAACTTAGCTCCATTTTTCGCTTCCTAATAAACATATTTCTTCGAGCAATCCTCGTTGTTGTCTTAGTAACATTGTTCTCTTGATTAGAGGCTGGAAGACAATCTGCTTGTGGCAAAACGTTAAGTTGGTGAGAGGTCGAAGAGATTCTACATGGAATTGTGTCTTCAGTGCCTTCAGTCACCGATTTGTCCGAACTTAGCTCTATTTTACGCCGCTTAGCAAGCGTATCTCTTCGAGCGATCTTCGTAATTGTCTTAGCAGCATTGTTCTTTTGATTAGTTGAAGATGAAGGAAGATTGGAACGCCTTTTGCTTCGTTTCGTCAATCCCAACATCTCCACAACAGACTTTGATTTGCCACGATTTCTCGTTAACATACTCTAAAATATAAAAACGCATTAATGAGCGATTAGCAAAATAGGACATTTAAATATCTCAAGCATCCATAAGCCATATAAGGTGAAAAACTGAAGGAGGACATTAGCTATAGGAATTAACACTTTTAAATATAATCAGAAGACAAATAATGCAAAAAGATTCAAAAACTATAAAACAATATTTATAAAAATAAAGAGGAATTAACGTTGATAACATTGGATGAAGATGGCATAAGTTTAGAGACACCCACCGGCAAGCGTACCCTAAAATGCGAAACTAGTACAAATAACCAGCCACTTTCGATCCTATGTACTTGAGAATCGGGAAATATGATATAAAAAAACAAAACACCATATGATAATTATTTTTGGTTTAATTTTTATCGATTTATTTTATCCAGTAAATTATTTTAAATGTTTTCCTACTTAATTTCAATATGTTTATTTTTATTCCTTTTCATAAATACTTTCTTTGAAATATTATAAGGATATAATTCAATATTGTCAAAGTTTCATTCCAACTTATTTTCAATTGTAGTTAGAGCAAATACAATATATCTTTTACTTGATCGAACCTTTTTTGCCATTATTCGCTTTGTTAATAACGGCCTGGAAACTCGCAGTTAATATTACCAAGTATAAATATATTTAATATAAAGTAGTACCTAATTTGATAAATGTAATTGGATTTCAATAAAAGGGTCATTTATAATTTAATTGACTACACTAGTTCTAAAGGGTATTTTTGCTCAGATGCACTTTATTTGAATTGGCGCATGATATAGCAGAGATATTATAAGGTACTGTATTAGATTGGCAATGAACGTCACAGAAATAATCAATTGAATAAGTCATGTGAATTGTCTTATAGGCACAACTATCCACAATGGCTAGTCTACATTCAAGGTATCGAGAAAAAGGCAGTCAACCTCGAGGGATGGAGATATGAATAACACAACGTTAACCAAATATTAATTGTTGACTGGCTTTTTCGATTGTAGAACGAGCGTACTTTCTAGAACGCTCATGCTCATAGGAGACCACTTTGACTATCCTTTGTTGTGTTGTAGACTCCACAGGAAGTAATTTATAAAGAAAAAATAAGATAGAATAGGTGGGAAATTAATGCCAATTGGAATGAAAGAAAATTTTAGACTGTCATCGGTTTTTTAAAGATACTAAATTGTTTATTAATAATTAACATAGCTCATGCAAGCAGATTGGGTCCCAAGTCAATTCTTCCTATACGAGAGGGTAAAATTGCTTTAAAATGGTATTCAAAAACGGAATATTAAAAAGCAAATTCCAAGAAGTCTCTTATTCAATTAAGAATGAAAATTTATTTTCTAAAGGGAAAGACTAAAACTAAAAAAGTATGAAAATTTCCTAGAGTTTTCTTTGGTTTATATATATACAAAAGTACAATTGTCAGAAGGAAAATTTTTTGTTTCCATCCTCTCAAATATTTCAAGTATGTTACTCAAAATTACAAAATTAAAGATTTAATGGTTTTCAATCAAGTTAGGCAACTACAAGAGATATTTATCCTTTATCTACAAACTCTCCAAAGACACTCACGTATACGGAGTTTACGATAATCACGCGCATTCTTTGAATGAAGAAGAGTTAATTGATTTAATCAAGTTTAACCATGAACTTTAATTTTGTTTTTTTTAAACATGAAATAGTTCTAGTAGCTATCCAAATTTACTGAGTAATTTAGCTTATTCACGTTCATTTTCCTTGAACTTAAAAATAGTTCAAGCAAGTTTATTCGACAGATTGCTGTCATTTTGGTGTGACACGCCATCTGTGGCATAGTAGATTTCTTGCCATTTGAAATTAACATTCATATCTTTTCTGATTTTCGCGGATTGAACTAAATGATATTTGATGGACTAGAGAAGAAGTTGCTCATCGTCATTGCCAATCGTCACGCCACTAGTAAGGTAAATGATCATCTTCATCGGCAAACATTTTCCAATAAACGTCTGGAAGTCTTCACCCTCCCGATATGATTCCTGCCTAAACTCCCTTTTTCAGAGAAATTCACAGTTCACTACAGTTCAGATTAATTTTCTGCATATTTGATCGGTGGGTAATGCGATTGGTGAATGAGGTCATGAGTGAGAGTATCCTTTATTTACTGATTTGTGAGCATATTTGTCTAGTAAAACATGAACAGATTTTGTTTAGCTTATAGCAGAGCTGTTTCTTTACATTTAATGTCACCAACACAAAGTGCTTGCTAATTCCAGTTGTACAAATTTCAAACACACTCTAAGTATGAATACGGAGTTTAATTAATAGTCATTTGCAAATCTAATATTTCTGTTAAGTAGGAGTGGAAATAAATACAGCTGGATCCAGCAATCAATAAAATTTTTAAGGAAAATGTCTTTAGTTTGATTTGGGAGGAGGGGGGGGGGGGGGGGGGCGGTTTGACTTGGGCTTAAAAGGTAAGCATAAAGAATCAAGGTAGTTGGCATTAGTTCAATGTGTGGGAGTTGGAGGAAAGAAATGCGGCTAAAGACCAGTTTCCCATAGATAATGGACTAAATTATAAAATTTAACTTTCGCATTAAAGAATTAAATTGCATCAATTAAACTTTAAAGTGAAAGCAATATTGACAAAATTTTGATAGTTGGTTTTAAAGTTCCGAATGCTTTTTTACTGCATTCAATATAAAGCAGATTTAAAGACGCTTAAAATAAAAATACCCATTTTTTTGGAATTTGATGCTTGAATTTCGGGCCACAAGATTAGTCAAAAACGTGAAAACAATAGTAACAGTGAAAAGTAGAAAAATTAGCTATAAAACACTTACCTTTAACACATATGCAGAAGGTCTTGCTGAATGCCAAAAGAATGAAAGAAAGCTAGGACGGAATTCCAAGATTTACTTTGCTGAAGCAATGAGTTATCATTAAAGAAATGCAAATGAAATAAATTATACCTTCATAATCTGTAGAAAATAAATTTAAAAAAATAATTTAAATAATTTACTTTAAAGGAGCAAAGTTGTTATGCTGGCAGGCAACACTCGAATAAATGACAATTCGATCCGACAATTTTAAAGCTCATACTCGTGAATGGCTTAATTATTTAAAACAGGAGAGGTCAAATATCCACACACTCACTTTGGCATCTTAGGGGTGTACGATAGACTTACCTCCACGCGGTACGCCCCGGGGAACGTATTCTCACACGGCAAAAAGTCTATAAACCGACAGCTGACTTCTCACTTCAAACTACCATGACCCCACCCTATGTCTTATTCGATCACTTCCACCGAACTTATCCTACCTTTTCTCTACCATTGTGTCTGTCTGTCTCTTTTACATCTTTGAATCAGTATTCTGTCCCCCTCTCCACTTTTTCTCATTCTCCGTGAAGCCCGAAGTCAGCTAAAGGGCTAATGATAAGTATTATAAAGCCACCATTTGAAATAAACTTTGGCCAACAGACGAACCAATTATTGTGATGTTTATTATTAGCCCTTTAGCTGACTTCGGGTTCCAAAAAGAGGAGGAACAGTCAAAGTCACAAAAAGTCGTGATGGAAATAGAAGAGTGATTCTTAGATGTAAAATAGACAGAAAGACAGAGACAGAGATAAGATAAGATGAGTACTGTGGAAGGGGTCGAATATGACAAATAGTCAGGTCATAGTAGTTCGAAGTCAGAAGTCAACTGCCATACAATGGGGTGATGGTAGTTTGAAGTCAGAAGTCAATAGCCATATTAATAGACTTTTTGCCGTATGAGTATACGTTGCCCAGGGCGTAGGTAATAGACTTTTTTGCCATATGAGTATACGTTGCCCAGGGCGCACAAATAGACTTTTTTGCCGTATAAGTATACGTTGCCCAGGGTACACCACATGGAGGTAAGTCTATCGCAAATGTAAACGTAAACAGTGACAACAGGAAATTGTGTGATATTAAGAAAAGTCACCTTCGAATATGAGCAGCAGATAGAGTGCAAGTTTCAGAGAGGACGGTGATTACATAAATCACCCTTACCAAGAGAAACCAATTGCAAACTGATGTAGCACGTTTGTATGTCTATGCTAAGCATGGCTTGTCAAGTAACACAGGTCAGATCATGCTTAAAGGTTATCAAACAAAGCATAAACTTATTAATTTTTATCATGGGAAAAATCACAAACTTAAACAAGCGAAGTACATGGAATTGGCTAACTCAAAGTGAATGAGCTATATGACCTTCTAAATCACTCCAAAATCGCGGTTAAATTAAAAAATTTTAAAATACGAACACGCAAAGCAATGAAAACAAGAATTCAATTTCCTGAATGCATAAATGTTGGAGTCGAGACAGGGGTGTAGTAACCGTAGTAAATGGCTACCCGTAAAAGCTACTCGATTTTAAGCGCTGTTAAATGGTTGCGCTCGGTATTACTGCAAAACCTTTTAATGAACGGCAAAAGGCAATAACATATAAAACCTTTTGGCGACACGAAACAATATATATATATATATATATATATATATATAATCAATGTTAATTTGGGTAGGGGTGGTGGCTATTGTGTACACTTTAAAAGTCCCCAAAGATCTTTCATTACATTTAAGGTCTCCGATAACAATCACTGATTCAGTCGCTCCCTTTAAAATGGAAAAATTCTAAAATCAAACGATACAGCCAGAGGATGAACTAAAGTCAATAAAATCAGAAACAAAGACGCCATTATCAAAAATTTGAGAGTTGACTAGTGGTTATAAAATATTTTATGCGATTTTTATGCCGGGAAACAAAGGAATGGGTATAATGGTGGCTTAAACGCCGTCCCTTTTCAGTTACCTTTGATGTTTGATTTTGGACAACAAAGTGAGGCGAGGAGGTTTTGAAGTTGATTAAGACTGGAGCGACGCGGTTTAGATGGCAGATTTACGTTAAGAAAAGACCAAATAAAGGTGCTACAGTTCCCTGCTAGCAAAACCCTCTCCGATCAATAGATGTCTTAGTCGTCTTTGACC